AGACAGAGTTACTTGTAGAATCCCTTCGCCCCTGTAGACTAGCCCTTCGCTCATTCGCACCCGCGGGTGAGAAACATGGGCAACACGAACAGTAGACTTGGGGTACATTCGAGACCAAACTATGTAGAGTAAACCGGCCAATTAACGAACGCTTAAGCCACCCCTCGCGCCAACAGCTCGTTCTCGGGCATGAAGAGGAGTATGATGTATTTGTGGGTACCGGACGATAGCTTGTATTATAGGCTACCTCCTTAAAAAAAAAAAAAAATCGTTCGTGTCAACGAGATAGAGCTGATGCAGTGCATTCCATTGTTTAGCTGAAAATGCAGGAAAACCCCCCCCCCCCCAATTAACGAACACTTTAGCTTTGTAGCTGCTTTCGTGCGTTCTGAAGCGTTTCATGATCTGATTTTTTGTGGAGATACGTCTGTCGCAACATATATCCGTTTAGGAAAAAAAAAAATGGAATCGATCCACGCCCGGGGACAAAATCCTCACATCCCCGGGTTTTCCGCCTGAAATCGGGGACGGATTTTACCCCATTTTTGACCGTACGGCGGTGCTGCACACATGAAAAGAGCCAAAACTAAGAGATTATTGCACAGTGGGTCTAATCTGATCATATACAGACTCAAGAAAAAAAAATTAGGACGAAAAACTTCGCGCATGTGATGTAATGCCCGTTCAAACAGGCACCCCTTGACCCGGCCGCTACCGCTATAATTCTCCGCAAGAACCCCAAGGCCATTTCCCTTTTTTCACAGTCATCTTACATTCCCACAAGACGCCCTTTGGTGTGTAGGTTTGTTTTATCACAAGAAACGCTGTTGCAAAAAAAAAAAAAAATCATGCATGCCCGGGGACAAAATTACCATATCCCCGGGTTTCCCGGTATCAACCCCCCCGCCCCCCCCGCGCTGCTGGGGTGCACCCTAACCATCTCCACATGCCCCCACAAACCACCTAATCTTCTGCTTTACTCGTATAGTCTAATTCATCCACCGCCTAGACAATAGTAGCCCAGAAAAACAACAACAACCGCAAAGCATCTGCCCTGGTCTAAACATCAACGATTGGTGTCGGGATCCGCTGCCGTCCTCGGGAAGAAATGGGAGCCGCCGACGGCGGCGGGTGAACCAAGGGAACCGCCGCCCCTCTCGGCCGTCCCGCTCCTCCTTGGACGGGAGCACCTCTCCCCTCGTCCCCCCCCCGCCCTCCCGCCCCCATTTGCTCTCCACGAGCACCAGTGGTGCGGTCCTGGCCACCCTGTCCTCTGCCACGCCCCTCTCGCCCACCGCCACCGCGCCCCCTGATCGCCGTCCGCGTCCCGCTTAGCTCAACCCTCACGCTCCTCTCTCCCCGCCCTCCGTCCTGTTCCCCGCCCCGTCCTTCGCCACGCCCCCCGCTCCGCCCTCCACCTCTCCCACCCTCGCGCCCTCCACCTCTCCCCCCCTCTCGCCCGCCGCCCCGCCCGAAGCCCCGCCCGCCGCCCCGCCCGCCGCCCCGCCCGCCGCCCTGCCCGCCGCCCCGCCCACCAACTGCTCCAGATTGTTGGTTGGCCTCCTTCGTTGCCCTTGCCTCCGCGCGTGCCGCCTTTGCTTCCTCAGCTGCCTGCTTCGCTTCTTGGTCCTTCTTGGCCTGAGCAAGATGTTCTTCGGCGGACAGCAGACCACCTTCGGGCTTCCCCCCCCCCGCCCGAACGGTCGCGAAAGCCTTGGTGCGCTTGGTGAGGCGGGTGAGCCCGCCAAGGAACACGGTGTTGACACGGAGCCCCTCGATCATCAGCCCGTGTCTTTTCAGCTCCAGGAGGGCAGCGCGGCCGAGGTCTCGCTCGAGTTGATCCTTAGAGGCAACCACGGCGAGGTCTTCACGAATAGGGCGGTCATGGTCCCGTTGCTTCCTCTTGCTGTGTAGTCTGTTGATAGCTTTCTCCATGCTCACCGGCCACAAGCCCGACCCTTTGAACGCCGCCTTGTTGTTCTCAGGCGTGAAGCTCCCTGCCCATGCCTCCGCAATCACGCCAGCCATGTCGCGCTTCACCGGACTCCTCCCCCCGTTCTTTAGCGGGTAGGCCGTGAGCACCTTGGTGATCTCCATCTTGAAGGTTCCGAACGTACCGACGTCCAAGGGCTGGGTGATGTGCGATGTGTGGGATGGAAGCTGGAATAGGTCCATGTCCAGGGAGATGCCCAAGCTGATGGCGTCGAAGGTCGTGTGTGAGGCGTGGCCGTCGAGCACAAGGGCAGCTTTGCCCAGCAAGCCGCGCGCATCGAGCTGCTTGCGGAGGTCTCGAAGGTAGTCCAGGAAGACGTGGCTCTGGATGAAGGATGACTCCGTGACGGTGTACTTCGCATCGGGGACGCCGTTGTTGTCCTGGATCCAAGCGGGTTGCATACGCTGGCCTTTGAAGATGATGGTAGGGTGGAACGTGTGGCCGTCGGCACCGATGGTGGCGACCACCGTCGTATTTTCTCGCGAATTGGAACGCCTCGCGCCGGGTACCTTGGTGCCTCTTGCGACGATTGCCTTCCCCGACTTTGTACCTTGAGGGGTCGAACCTACAACACGCGCGCATCGGGGGTAAAGACAGTTGAACAATCAGTAAACTAGACACACAAAAAACGCGCGTACAAACACACATGGGTGCTGCTCGCTCCGGGTGGTGGCACACAGCAGTGGTGAAGGCCATTTTTTGTGCGGCAAGTGTCGGATTCGTTTAAACTTTGGGTGCGAAACAATAACCCCACACCCATGGCAGTTTGCATTGAGCTCCAAACGTAGGTGGGTTTACAAAAACAAAGCGTTCTACTGAAGTCTCGACGTGACTAGACTAGTCTGCACTTCGCGCGTCGTTCAGCAACACACATGCATTTTGCAGACCAAGAACACACGCCCGCTGTTGCCGGTAGCATCACAACAGAAAACGATGTACACATGCAATCATGCGGCAGAGTGCAACTGAGATGACCACAGGGACTGTTACATGCTAACCTCAGCCGACTCCAGCAGCAAACATGCGGGCGTGTTGTGTGCTACGCGCATGACAAGCAGCAACGGCTCGGAAGATATGCGGGACAACTGCTGGATCTTTTTTTTTTGCAGCAGCAGAACTCCGCGTTGTTGTGACACATCGCAGTGCTGCTGGTACTTCGCCTACGAACCCACAGCAGTCGATACTGACACCGCTGACACCCAATGACACCTACTGACACCTCAACCCTTGCCCTAACTCACTTGTCTCATCCGTGTTGAGGATGCGTTCCGGCGGGAGCTTGGTCTCCTCCAGGTACTCCGCCCATGCTTTGTAGAAAGCTTGAAGGCGAGGCTCGCCGTCTTCGTTAATCCGGTTTGCTTCGTAGATGTGGGTGGCTCGCTCCGACAAACCCGGGTGTCTCGCCATAAACCCCTCAAGCCAGCTGTCCCCAGGGCCCTTGTCTGGGTCCCAGGGCACCTTGCGCCCGTCGGTGCAGATGTTGCGCACAGCGTCTCTCAGCTCCCTCCGACCCAACAGCAAGAAGTGTCGGGAGGCGTAGATCAAGACGTCTTCTACGAAATCTTCCTCCTCCTTGCTCAGGACAGTCCCGGGACCAACCCTCGCATCTATGGCCACCTTGTTCTTCACACGGTCGTGCAGCGAGGCTAGCGGTAACCCGTAGGTCCTCGCAGCAACGCGGAGCGACATCTCACCGCTGCGTACCGCATCTACAGCCTTCTGGGCCTGCTCTGGGTCTACTCTCTTACGTCCCATGCTTAGCAGCAGGACCCCGAAAAGGGCAAAGATGCCCCACATAAGGGGTGTGGGTGAGGGCTGTGCTGTATCTCGGGAGTGCTTGACCCGATCGACACGCGGAGGTGCTCAAACGAAAGCTAACGGAAAGCTGAAGATTTCAAAAAAAAAATTGGGGGGCTCCGCGCATTGTGCGCCGAGGGACGTGCATTTGAAAAAAGTTTTCGTTAAAGGGGGGGTGTTCGTTAATACCCTGGTTTACTCTAGCTCTTCAACTATCTGTATGTATGCGGCCGACGTGGCCGACACCAGACGTGCGTGGTCCTTGGTATATATCACAACTAGCCGAGAGGAGACATCCCGATGTTCTGTTCGATCTGAGTGGTCCCTGTTTTCCATAGCAACAGTGGTAAGTGATCATCCACAGCGTTCCTTGTTCGTTCGTCTTTGAATGTTGTGTCACGAAAAACTTGATTGGACAGAAACACTTCCTCCGCCTCTCGGAAGTTGAAGGGAAAATACCTCCCAACATGCACAGCAGCAGCAGTGTACATACCGACACCGAAAAAAGCGGCACGAATACCATGTTGACTTCCCGGTTGCGAGCGTAGCGACCAAAAAGGACGCGATGTCGTGCCAAGCCTTGTCTGGGTGTCACTCGTGCGAAATGGAGTTTATTGTGAGATATTGGTTTAGGTTTCGACATGTTTTCTCCTCTCTCATACTACTGCAGTGTGCTCGAATAACAAGACCGTGCACATTCCCTTTGCCATCAGAAAACAAATATATACATGTTCACGACGTCGTCGTCAGTGTATAGTATAGGCTAGCCAGAAAGGTGTTGGGGACAATTTATTTCCACACGGATGGAGACGACCAGAAATGTCGTGGCTGCCCTAGGCACCGCACGTTTTTCGATACCGGCCGTATGCATCACCCCCTGTTGTACTTGATACCCTGAGCATTAGTCTATAATTAATTGTAACCTCAAGCAAGCTTGTAAGTTCAATTAGTTTTTGTTTATTGAGCCTACAGTACAACAACAACAGTCACCGGTCGCCCCGGTGGTCTGGTGGTATCCTCGTAATCCGCTAGTTGCAGAGGTCGTGAGTTCGAACCTCCACGAAACTTGCGGGTGAAGGCGAAATATAGCTGACAAGCTCTCGTGAGTACCAAACTTCGACGTTAGCACCGTTGACGAGGGAAAGGGACGGCTGGACCCTTCTCGCGATAAAGATAAAATTCAGCACGTACCGCAGGCGGAAGGTGGGGCATGAAAAGAAAGAAAAAGAAGAAAAACGTCGTGGTGTTTCTCCTGTGCGACCCTGGATGGTTGTAGTTGTACGAACAATACACTGAAAAGTGTAGTACTCTACATACATTCATACGCTGAAACACTTTTCACCACGAAAAATGGGGGGACTGTCACCATAACAATTAGGACGGAAACACACAACACACACACAACAACCGGCAAACACAACCCACGGTGGAGACCGAACCAGGAATGGCTCACAGCGATTTCGTCATTGCGCTTTGGAAGAACTCCTAGACTGCAAGGACCTCAGCCAGCAGAAAACACTTTATTTAGTTACAAATATGTGGCAGGAGCAGCACGGTCTCGGCGTCTATCATAGACTTGATGATTTCCACTGATGATTTCTCCGATGCATTCCGCGACGCACTACAATACGCCCCCCCCCCCCCCTTCCCCTCGCGGCGAAAACACGAATTGTCAGGGTCCAGCTCAACGGTGGAAGGTGGACGGACGAGGAGCACCAAGGATTTCTCAGCGGTCTCGAAGTGTACGGTCATGGCAACTGGAACGCTATCGCGGTCTTCGTTCCCACTCGCAGCCCGCCTCAGATTGAAGCCTACGCCCGGCAGTACTTTGCGCTGGGTGAAGCGGTCCAAAACCTCCAGCAGGTACATACGTCCACAGGCACACGCGGGGTGTGAGTCGTGTGAGCCACGAGCGCTTTGTTTGGTGTTTATGGCATTGGAGAACGTAGATTCTGTCAATTCGTTCGGACAAATAGCTCGTTTTTTTGCTCTCGTCTTCCCTCCTCTCGATTTTATTGCTCTCGTCTGTTTCGTTGCTCCACCGGTGTAACGGGAGATGTATCGGGCTCATGCTCTTTTTGTTCTCGCCTATTGTCTTGGCCGTTCCGTGTGTGCGCCGATACCCGAGTTGGTTTCTCTCGTTCCTGCGCTCACGCGGAAGCCAAGGTGTAGTCGAATTGCAATGCATGGCTTCTGGTACTTGTGACTATGACGTTGCCCGGAAACCCGTTCCTCGCCCAACCGATGGGGATCGAATTCGGTTGGTGGGCAGTTGGTGTGCACCCGACAACGAGAAGCAACAGCGTACCTCTGCAAAGCGTCGTGCTAGCACATGTTCATCCTGATCGTACATCCTAAATTTGATATCCTACATTATCGCGACGGATAGACCAGCTGGGTGGGTGCTCAACGGAGAAAGTGAAGCACGACCTAGGCGACACTTCACAGGTGTTGGGGCCCGGGATGTTATTTGTGCGCCACGCCATGGATCTTACTCTTTCCATCTCTCATCAACGGTCCCGGTGCCCTCACACCACAGTCGCCGTGTAGTCATCCCCGATTCCTCTCACATTATCCCCTACAGACACTCTGGCCATGCCGTTAGACTCACCCCCTCACCCCACATGCTTACATTATCAATTTCAGGGAGTTGACGGAGTGCCGCAGCAGCAACAGCCCCCGCCGCAGCAACAGTATCAGCAGCAGCAGCAGCAGTACCAGCAGCAGCAGCAGCAGCAACAGCAACAGCAGCATCAAGCGCAGTCGCAGGTGGACGAACAGCAACAACAGCGTCAGGTATGGAGTCGCGCAGGTCTGGTACCCGACCTGAACGACCCCGACGGCGAAGAAGCGTTGAGGCGCCATCTTGCTACAATCGGCATTTGTTACGGCATGCTATAGCCACCCTTTGGGTTTGCTTGACCGCTGCCGCCGCCGCTGCTGATGCCATGTTCCCAGTAGTACCTGATCGAACAAATATCGATAAGACGCTGGTGCCTCAGCAGAATAACGAAACACACACACACACGATGGAATGGATAAGAAATGTAGGCAGTAAACGGGGGCGGATGGTTGGTGAGCCTCCCACTGCTAAATAACTGTCGACGAGGCTTGGCGAATTGCACCGAAATTGCAATATTGTCATTCTCTGCGTAGGATGTTTTTCGCAGTGCAGTGCCATCCACAAGCGGGAAAGTGGCGCACGCATCGTGCGGTTGTTTTTCCGGTCAGTCCACGTGGTCTTCGCTCACCCGGCCAAGCCTTTGGACAGAGGCTGTCGGTGCGAGACTTGAGACGGTTGCCCATCCTTCGTTTTTACAGGGAGTTGGATACGGCAGCACCGAAACACTCCCACTCGTTTTTTAACACTTCCAATCTGTGTGGCGTTGAGCACAATCGTGATATTACATGGAGGTTCCTCCTCCCGCGTTTCGAGCAACCCCAAAATTTTCTACTCGTCGTCAAGGTTTTCAATGGATGTGGCGGTGACTTTTCTTGTTCTGGATATTTGTAGGGGGTTGACGGGGCGGTTGTCATGAGTGGGCCAGTATTCGATCTGCAAACGATATTTGAGCTTGGGAAACCTCAATACGTGAGCCTGTTTTCAGCGGGTGAGACACCGGCGGGTATTGCTTGGTTTGCAAATACGACCTACATGTAGGACTTCAGGTCTTATGCCTCAACTTCACTGATGGGCAGGGGTGAAGGTTGTGGCAGGTTGAATCCTAACCACAAGTAGTTGAAGGTTCGGGGGCAAGCTTTCGTAGGACTGGATCGACCTGAGCTTTTCGTTGTTTTTTGCGACCACCCCGCCGTTTTTGGTTGGATCAATGGGACAGCTACCGATGGCGTGACGTGCTGCATTCGGTGTGGTGTGCAACCGTGAGGTTTGGCCAGTTTTAGTTGGTGCTACCACAAGCCGGTGCCTCTGGCCACCTGTACTTCACACAGCAGTACCGGGCAGGCTCCGTGGTGCGAGACCAGCCGTCCGTGTAGGTGGTACTGAGACAGCGGCATCCGTCACTGGGGTGGTTTTCGTTCGGTGTTTTTACCCTGGGTGGGTGTCTATTGTAGCACCCCGTCTTGTTCCCGATTGTCCAGCCCGTACATGTTGCTTTTGACTCTATGGCTGTGTGAAATCGAACGCGCCCTACGATTGGTGATACGGTGTCGCGAGGCAGTCGTGGATGATGCTTCATCGCCCGACGAGTACGAGAGTTGTTTCATGTTGTACGTTTGTGTGATCCTCCTGATGTACAAGGTTGCTTGCGTTTTTAGATATCAAAGTCGGGCTGTGGTCGGGGAAGCGCATGTTTCTAGATGATTTATGTTTCTTGTCTCGTGCCTGCTGTACAAGATTCGAAACGTCCAATGTACTGTGTGTGGTAAACCTGTAAAGTATCGAATGTTTTCTTGTCGACACCGAAACCCCGTGCACGAAGTACGCGAGGTGTGAGAGCGATGGCAACGAGTCATCCATCGACTACGTTTGCTGTGATTGTTCATGTTGTTTTATGTGTGCCAGTGTTGGGGGCGGAAGTAGAGTGTCATCGACGGTGATGGTGGGTGCTCTGTATCTGGGTAAAGCTTGGGGGAGAGAGGCTAGAAGAACATTCCATCTACCCCCTCTGCTGCTGCATGAAGACGTTTCCTATTTGCCAGTGCATACGCGCTACTTCGAGAAGTTTACCAGCGCTGGTCAACGCAAGATTGACGAGGGGGCAATGGTGGTAAACGAGGCGCTACCCGTTTTATTCAGATGTTCCATGCACGACCCCACGTGCGTGTATGCCCTTATTGCTTTCGGCCAGTTCCAGATACTCCCATCATGGCGGAGGTCGCATGTGCATGCACACAAGATGCGAGGACACTCAGAAGCACCTTCAAAACACACGTATGTGAAATACTACTGTACAGTGAAGATCCATATCCTCCAACAGTGGCACCTCTTTCCACACGGACAATATTTGATTGTATTTGACTTTGCACCTCAAGGTACCCATGCCGTCATCGATATAAGCCTATTCTAAACACGGTGGTGCAAACGGCAAGCCTTTGGGCCTCCTCTCGCATACACCGACCCATGCACACCCGTGATGCGATGTGGCGACAACACTACTGCAGGTCTGTAACAACGTGAACCAGTATCCATTCACACGACCGGAATTGATCATCTCAATGCACCACACTCTCGTCTACAATCACGAGAGAGCTGCTTGCGAAACTTGTCGCCAATCGAATTTCGATATTTTTTTTCGTTTTTCGTCGAGGAAACCAGCCATCGAGGAGAGCAAGTGCTGCATACAAAACAGGAGCTTGCAAACACGAACATTACTATGAACAACTTGGGCAGTTGTGTCACAGCTCCCGGTGCTCTTCGTCTTGCGGGCTTTCTAACCCAAACATTTCAATGCGGAAGGAGTAGAGAAACCAACCAGAGAACAAAAGGTGCACTCTCCGGGAAAAAAGAGCAGGGCACGGGGAGTCTGTGCCTCAAATCATGCATTCCATACCCAAAGCATGCATGAGACGATTTGTCTGACACACGCATCCTCGTTTTCTGGCTGCCGTACCCTGCTTCAAGGCGTGGGCAGCAGCACGAAGAACACCTTTTCATGGGCAAATGCCTGCTAAATTTGCTTTCATCCGGAATGAATGGTAAACTACGCGGGGTGCAGCAAGCCCGTCCTGGGCGTTACTTGGGGCACTGGGTAGTCGGCCGTGTTAGGCCGAAAGAGAGAGGTAGTGAGAGAGGTGGAGAGTGAGTGGGAGAAGGAACCTTGATTGGAGAGAGACGGCGGTGGCGGTGGAGAGAGAGAAGGAAGAAGTGCGCAGCACGCACGCAAGCTCCATCGCACCAACCACGCCAAAAAGGTCCCCGTGACTGCACCGGTGGTATCCTACAACACACGAAATTCCCAACAAGTACCCCCCTGAGGTCCCCACGACCAGATGCTGATGCGAGTGTATCTAACATCCCCCCTGCTCGCAACAGTTTCTCACTGAAAACTTCGCTAACACCCGTTATCTCAACCAAAACACGTCTTTCCCAGAACATAAGTCATCAAGATTACTTCCAAATAAAAGAGAATGAAAAGAACACCAAGAAACTTGAATGCTGCTTCGCGCACAGTTTATACCTCATGCACGGGAAACAAAACAAGACCAAAACACAATCCATCAGAAACCCAATAAAATGTTCATGCCAAATTCATCACAAAATCACGGCGAGACTCGAAAGTGTCCTTCGGCAAGCTCTTCGTAAGAAAGTCTGCACGCTAATATGGCGACGGCACGTGGATCACCGAGATTTCCTTCCTCTCTACCAGTTCTCTGAGAAAATGGTGCCTTTCATCTATGTGCTTCGAGATAGACTTTGAGATGGGGTTCTGCGCTAGTTGAATCGCCCCCTGGTTGTCCTCGAAGACTGGGATGCACGGCATGTCGACCTGCGGCAACATGAAACGCCAAATCTGCCTCAACAACAAGATCTCCTTCACTTCGTCACCAAGCGCGACGTACTCTGCTTCTGTCGTCGAAAGCGTAACACACTTCTGCGTTCTGGAAAACCAAGACAGCGCATCCTCCACACGCGACGATCCCCCCTGATACCGACCTACGGTCTGCTGCCTTGCTTGCAAAGTCCGCATCAGCGTAACCCTGCAAGCTTAATCCCTCTACCGTACCTCTCTGAAACGAAATACCAAAGTGACTCGTCCTCCTCGCATAGCCTAAAATCTCCATCGCTGCATTCCAGTGTACCAGCTTCGGACATGCGCATACTTCCCCGTACTGCATTCGCAATGTCTGGCCTAGTCTGAGTCGCCAGCCACATCAAAGATCCTACCAGCTCACGAACGGAAAGTCTGTCGCCACCTCATCCGCATCAAAATCAGAAAGCTTGACCCGCGAAGACATCGGAACGCTCTTACCTCCCACTACTCCATACTCTGCTGCTAGCAAATCCGTGAAAGTCTGCTGAAAAATCGTCAATCTACCGGTTTCCTTGTTCCTCTCGTAAAAGCACCCAGAATACCATCTCAGCTCTCCCAGGTTCTTCACTGGCACGGACTTGTTAAGGTCGGCGCCAAACTTGTCACATCCCTCCCTCTCTCCCACAGCAAAAATGTCTGTAGAAAATCAAAACAACACATCCATCCTCAATCAAACGAAACACACAAGCATCTGCCATGCACTGCTCAAGACCTAACGCCACCAAACACCTCTTCAGCATTGCATGCCACTGCCTAGATGCCTGTCTCAAGCCATACGGACTCCTGCCTAGTTTTGCGATCATTCCAGATAGAGCTCCACATCCCTGCGGCAAACGCATGGACACGTCTTCCTCCAACTCCGAACGCACAAAAGCTTGCTCAATATCGAAATGACACAAGTCG